TGCAGGCACCATGGAGAAATGCTGCCTAGGAGGCTGATCTCCTATGTGCCTCACTGATAGCAGTCTGTGTGGCTTCTGGAACTCAATGTCAGGAGGAGGCAGGAGGGATAATACCAAGCAATGATCATATAACACAGAGTATAAACAACAGGATCAGAGCAACTTTAACCTGCCTGACAAGAAGTTCAGCTGTGGGTGTGCACACCTGCTGACCTGTAGAAGATGCGTTTAAGAATAACATACACATGCACACACATCAGCATGCAAAGAACAGCCCTGATAATGCCAGAATTAACATTTGAGTTGCTTGTGAGAAAGTCTGTGTCATGTGGAGAATTTTCCCTTTTGCTGAGGATAGATGTTGATTTTTGTCCTTCAAGGCTGGGTGTAGATGAAAGGCTCGTAGCTGGTGAGAAACCAGCTGACGGCTCAGTGCCCACATCTGTGTAAGGCTCTAATGCTCCCAGCTCACTCTTGGGTGGGAGGTAACTTAAAGTGATAACGACTTTGTTTCTTAGTGAACCCCCCCCCCACCCCTTGACCAACACTGAAGTGGAGCTAGAAAGGCCAGTTGGTAGTCTGCTGCTGAGTGATGTGGGAAAAAAAAGAAATCTAAAATAGTAATGATTTGAAAACAGAAATTTGATAAATTTATTCAAGGAATGCTTGAGTCTATATAAGGTGACTATAGGCATTATAAACTTTGCACAGAAATAAAACTGATTAAGCAAGATGATCAAAATTTAGTGAAATTTGGAAAGAAGGTTAATTTGCGATTTGTGTCCCTGGGGGAGGAGTCCCCTTTCTTCTGACAAAATCTGGAGATCCTGAAGGCCTTGAAATGCGACCTCTGACACTGTCAAGGACGCACTCAGCATTTATGTGTGTGTGCGTCTGCATGCTTCAATGGTTCTCGCCTTGTCTCTCCTGCAAACTAATTCGTTAACAGCAGTCTCAAATGTCTATTCCTCTGTGAGGCCTTCCCTTGCCTTCCCGTGCAGTTTGAGACACTATTTTTCAGCATTTCCACAGTATTTGTTTAATATGTTTATCCTGACAGTAAAGAGCATGTACATTAAGTGATTACCTGTATGTGTCCCTCATTAGACCATAAGGTCCATGAGCATATGGATTGAGAAGGCCCAAGCAACAGGCATAGTAATTACCCCAAATAAGTACGTTCAGTGGAAGAATGAGTAGCTAAACACATAAGTGTATTTAAGTACTCACACATCCTGAGGCATTCGAGCCAGATGATAAAGAGGTGTGGCAATCTGTAGTATGGTTTTTTCCAAAAACTTGAAAAATTCAGAACACTTGACACAGGTTTTTGACTTTAAAAGCATTTCTTTTAAAAAAGATGACCAGTAAGGGGATCTTAACCCTTGACTTGGTGTTGTTAGCACCACACTCTCCCAAGTGAGCGAACAGGCCATCCCTATATAGGGATCCGAACCTGTGGCCTTGGTATTATCAGCACCACACTCTCCTGAGTGAGCCACGGGTCGGCCCTGACTTTAAAAGCATTAAGCTGAATTACCTATCAGCATGATAAGCACAATTAAAAAACTAACAACAACAAAAAAACACACAACAAAACTCATTGGCAAGAAGAGGTGAGAAATGCAAAATAGCACGCTGGCTCAGCAAAGCTTCTCTGTGTGCCTGGTGTGGGCCAGGACCCAGCTGGGCAACGGGGTGACCCCTAAACGTCTGACAGGCTAGCAGTAAAGATGAAAATTATATTCCTTGTAGTTAGGAATTTGTCATTTGTAGTTAATATAACTGAAGTGATTACGCTAGCTGACTCTGGGTAAGTTTATTCATTCTCAAGTGATTGCTGAGTATCCACTTGTGTGCCAGGCATGATTCCAGTAAACACAGGCAAGAACAAGACAGACAAGGTCCTGGCTCTCTTGGAGCTTACATTATATTGCAGAGAAAGACACAAATACAATATTGCTTAGCTGTGATAAGGGACTCTGGAGGAAATGGGTAAGAAGGAAGCTCTTTCAGAGAGGAGGGTCAGGGAGACAAAACATCCAAGCTGAGAATGAAGGATGAAAGGGAGCCAGCCTTTCAGAGAGCCTGACAGAGTCCCAGGGAGTGGAAGGGCCCTCAGGAGGAAAAGAGCATGATGTACCCTAGAAGTGTAAGGAGGCCAGTGGTGAGAGCAGAGCAGCATGAAAGGGGTTGGGAGATAAGAACCTGATTGTACAGGCGCCCTGTAGGCCCTTGGTATAAGGAGTCTGCATTGATCTGAAGCTCAACAGGAAATCTTTAAAGGGTGTTAAGGAGAAGAGTTACCATGATCTTATTTACATTTTATTATAAAAAAGCCATTCTGGCTGTTGTGAAGAGAATGGATTACTTTGCTATTCTAAGCCTTTATTTCCTCACCTGTAAGTGAGATTAACACCTACCTCACAAGGTTATTATGACTAAATGAGATTTAGGAAATGCTCAGCACCTTATTACTATTATTTATTACTATTAATAGTTTTTAGTGACCCTAAATTTTTTTTATTATGTTTCTTGGCCTTAAGAGGAAGGTATAATCACACTCACGCAGATATGAATCCTCACGCAGTATACATCCACATGTTTCCTGAATGTGCTAACAGTCCTCTGTCCAGTGAAGGCCCATGCACTGCCTGGACCCAGCAGCTTTGGGCCTGACTTTAGGATAACTTACCCCAAGGAACTGCGCCTTTGTTTGGGGGCCCATGAGGTAGTGGGCTGGGAGGGTCGGATAGGGTTCTCTTGTGTCCGGGTGGTGGGGGAGGAGGCCTCTTCTTGGATAGGGTGGAGCTGCCACTAGAGGTCTGGGTGCTTAGAGGGAGTGTTGAAGGTGGGCCAGTTGGACCTAGAAAGGAAATTGAATGGGGGCAGGAAGGTTAATCCCAGTCTCACAGAAACAGAACTGCCAGTATGCAATTACTTCCACACATCAAGATGGCAGTATGATACAGAGACAAAAGCAAAAGGCTGGATATGACAAAATCCATCAATCCAATAATTCACAAATAGGGTTTTAGAAAACTATTGGCCAAAAAAAAAAAAAAAAAAAAAAAATTAAAAAAAAAGAAAGGAGAGTGTGTGCTTTTTTTTTTTTAAAAAAAAAGATGACCGGTAAGAGGATCTTAACCCTTGACTTGGTGTTGTCAGCACCACGCTCTCCCAAGTGAGCTAACCGGCCATCCCTATATGGGATCCAAACCCGGGGCCTTGGTGTTATCAGCACCGCACTCTCCCGAGTGAGCCACGGGCCGGCCCGAGAGTGTGTGCTTTTAAAGGAGTAAAATACCAGTCAATACAGAATGCCAGTGAGTTTAGATCATCACTTAGGTACAATGGGAAAAATAAAATACATAGTTTTACACCAATAACTCACTGGAATCATCACAAAATCCACTGAGAAAGAAGGCACACAGCACTACCAGCAAAATCAGGAGAGAAAGAGCAGAGTATAGGCTAAACCTTGTATGGGCGACAGGGTGAAACATGAAAGTCTTCATATAATAGGTTTTCCCTATTAAACCTATTCTTTTAGTCAGAAAACTGCCTGAAGTTTTTTTTTTTTAAAAAAATGACATTTCTAAATAATGAAGGACCCACTGAAAAGAGTTACCTGAAAAAAAGAGAAATCCAAAGACTTTTTTCCTTCAGTTCTGAATTGCTCTAAAAATCATAAACCACCTATTACACATTGGATGTCTGAATAATAATTATATAAATTAGATATTGATTTCTATAGACTTAAAAAAAAAAGACTCAACTTTCTCCGGAGGTAAAGACAGGATAGCCGTAATGACATTAATATTCTACATATGCACAAAAAAAATTACTGCAAAAGTTGACTTTTTTGAAATAATGTTTTAAAAAATGGGGTCTGTCTTTAAAAAGCTGTTGTTGGAGTATTGTATATGTTCTTAGTTTTGTTTATTCAACGTGACACTGAAGTAGCTGGTGTGCATCAGGCACAATATGCTAGGGACTTTGACAAATACTTACTGGGTATATGGTCTAACTGTGTTCGTGGACTACTGCTTCTGCAAACATCGGGGGGTCGGGGGGCAACAAACTAACAAAAAGCTAAGAACACTGCCACACCACATTTTTTTCTTTCTTTTTAAATTAAAAAAAAATTTTTTTAAAAGATGACCAGTAAGGGGATCTTAACCCTTGATTTGGTGTTGTCAGCACCACGCTCACCTAGTGAGCTAACTGGCCATCCCTATATGGGATCTGAACCTGTGGCCTTGGTGTTATCAGCACCACACTCTCCTGAGTGAGCCACAGGCCCTGCCACACCAAATGTTTTTTTTAATTTTTTTCCTTTTTGTCTTTTTTCGTGTCCGGCAACGGACTGCAACCCTCAGTGTCGCGCCCGTACCGGACCGGGACCGGCCAACGGGATCGCAACCCTCGGTGCTGCGCCCGCCCCTCGCCCAGCCAGTGAGCAGAAACCGGTCTGTATGTGGGATCCGAACCCTCGGCGGGAGCGCCACCGCGCTCCCAAGCGGCGCACTGTAGCAGTGCGCCACCGGGCCGGCCCCCCACCAAATGTTTAACACAGTATAGTAGATACCTGGTGATCCAGAAAGGCTCCAGAAGAGCTTTTTACATTCTGTGTATTAAAAGAAAAGCTTAATTACCGCTGGCCTCCTTTCTTGCTAAAGTAAGCTTTGATATTTCCTATTATCAGTTACAGGTCTGTACCAACATTCATTTAAACCATTATTTCTCAAAGATAGTCTAATTTTGGAAGTAAACACTGTTAATCTCGGTAAAATTATAATCTGCTTTAGGATTAAATGGCTATAGCTATATAAGTTACTGTGTCCTACTGGTGTGATACATGATGGAAGCCTTATGGTTACCACAAATCAATGCCTAATTATGGTATCAGAAACTATTTTATTTTTGTAACAATAAAGTGATTGCTGTTATGGCCTTGCATCTGTACAATGCTTTGTAGTTTTCTAAATGCGTTTATGTTTCATAACAAACCTGTGGAGTATGTGGGTAAGGTATTATTGTCCCCATTTTACAGCCAAGAAAGCACAGGCTTGGCGTGATCAAGGTTACACAGCCATGAGGGGTGAAGCTGAGACACTCAGGTGTCTGGGACTGGCGACGTGCTCATGCTATCGAAGGATGCTGCTGGTTCCTGAAAGCCAGGGCCGTATTTCCTATGCTTGGCACATGAGGAAAACAATGACAAATGCTCAGTATCAGGAAATGTAACTTTTCTTTTGGAAATAAATGGATAATAGATAATAGACGATGAGATTCTCTAGCGATTTCATCTTTATTGCCATCTAGGGACTTTCTGATGCAGTGCATTTGAAAAGTCGCTCAGATTCCAAATCCTGTTTGGAAACAAAAATTACCAAAGACAACTGCTAATAGAACTACATCTCTGAGCAAAGTTGTAGTATGTATAGGTGATTTTAGGAGTAATCAGATCAAAGAGTCATCCTGTAACCACAAACCAAGCAAAAGCCAGCCTCCAGAATCATCATTTCAAAAACGAAGGGATTACTCCTTCACAGGCCATTATACTTCTGTGTGACTTCCTTCCTATCACTGACTATAATCTCTAATTATTTACATGTTGTTTACTTATTTACTGACTCTCCCATCAGACTGCAGGTTCTATTATGGCCTGACTTTTCTCTGGACTGGTATATAGTAAATATTTATTGAAAAAATGGATGAATAAACTTCTACTATCTTCCTAAGGCCAGTGATTCTTAAGGAGGAGAGTATATCTCATTGAGGGCAACTGATCAAAAAATAGGTGTGTGTCTGTTTGGGGGGGAGGGAGAATAGCAGGTAGGAACAGAATTAAGTTTGAAAATGAATGGATAATACCATAAAATGATTTCATATCTGGAAAACAAACCTATTATTTTGTAATAGAAGCTACAGAAAGGAAGATGCTACAAAATGTTGGCTGGCAGGGCATGAGCTTAAAAAGGTTGAAAAATGCTACATTAGACCCCAGAAAGCTGACGATTTTTTTTTTGACTTAAAGAGTTCAGAAGACTTGTGAAATTATTAACCAGTACCAAAGCACTGAAGGAGATGTCATATACAAAATAAATCTGAGTATTGACTCATTCAGGAAAGAAGCAATTTTGGCAGGATAAAAAAAGCTGAAATAAAAGAAGAGAGAACACAGCATAAAACCTAACAGAAAAGGGTGGGGAGGCAAGATTAATAGTGGTGGAGGAGATACAGAAGTGATTCAGACAGCCTTAACTCTTCCTTAACTGTCAGGGGCCTGAGGAAGTAAGAAGAAAACACCCCAAATCTCATTTGGCACTAATATTGGCTACTATGTCAAATTATCTTCTATTTCTTCTTAAAAATATGGGTCTAGTCTTCCAAAGCTGCTATGCATAACTTTGAGGTTATTTAAATAATTCGAAGGTCTAATAGGAGACAGTGTATCTCACTCTTCCTGAGGGTTTACATGTTAGTTTAGCAACAGCTGTCACATTCAGATAGGCTGAGTCATCCAAGACAGTGTTTTTCACCATGAAAAAGTGTCCCCTGCTCTCAAACAGAGGTGTACAAGAGGTCTAGTGTTCTGCAGGGTGAGAAGCAAAGCCATACATTCACTTTTACATTAAGCCGTTATCAGAAAAAGTCCTTGAAAACTGTTTTGTGGACACCCACTGGTGCCTTTTATTCACCCACCTTTCATTCTGGGGACTCACTTGAGTCCTCTTTTGTGTGCCAGTGCNGACCATAAGGTCCATGAGCATATGGATTGAGAAGGCCCAAGCAACAGGCATAGTAATTACCCCAAATAAGTACGTTCAGTGGAAGAATGAGTAGCTAAACACATAAGCGTATTTAAGTACTCACACATCCTGAGGCATTCGAGCCAGATGATAAAGAGGTGTGGCAATCTGTAGTATGGTTTTTTCCAAAAACTTGAAAAATTCAGAACACTTGACACAGGTTTTTGACTTTAAAAGCATTTCTTTTAAAAAAGATGACCAGTAAGGGGATCTTAACCCTTGACTTGGTGTTGTTAGCACCACACTCTCCCAAGTGAGCGAACAGGCCATCCCTATATAGGGATCCGAACCTGTGGCCTTGGTATTATCAGCACCACACTCTCCTGAGTGAGCCACGGGTCGGCCCTGACTTTAAAAGCATTAAGCTGAATTACCTATCAGCATGATAAGCACAATTAAAAAACTAACAACAACAAAAAAACACACAACAAAACTCATTGGCAAGAAGAGGTGAGAAATGCAAAATAGCACGCTGGCTCAGCAAAGCTTCTCTGTGTGCCTGGTGTGGGCCAGGACCCAGCTGGGCAACGGGGTGACCCCTAAACGTCTGACAGGCTAGCAGTAAAGATGAAAATTATATTCCTTGTAGTTAGGAATTTGTCATTTGTAGTTAATATAACTGAAGTGATTACGCTAGCTGACTCTGGGTAAGTTTATTCATTCTCAAGTGATTGCTGAGTATCCACTTGTGTGCCAGGCATGATTCCAGTAAACACAGGCAAGAACAAGACAGACAAGGTCCTGGCTCTCTTGGAGCTTACATTATATTGCAGAGAAAGACACAAATACAATATTGCTTAGCTGTGATAAGGGACTCTGGAGGAAATGGGTAAGAAGGAAGCTCTTTCAGAGAGGAGGGTCAGGGAGACAAAACATCCAAGCTGAGAATGAAGGATGAAAGGGAGCCAGCCTTTCAGAGAGCCTGACAGAGTCCCAGGGAGTGGAAGGGCCCTCAGGAGGAAAAGAGCATGATGTACCCTAGAAGTGTAAGGAGGCCAGTGGTGAGAGCAGAGCAGCATGAAAGGGGTTGGGAGATAAGAACCTGATTGTACAGGCGCCCTGTAGGCCCTTGGTATAAGGAGTCTGCATTGATCTGAAGCTCAACAGGAAATCTTTAAAGGGTGTTAAGGAGAAGAGTTACCATGATCTTATTTACATTTTATTATAAAAAAGCCATTCTGGCTGTTGTGAAGAGAATGGATTACTTTGCTATTCTAAGCCTTTATTTCCTCACCTGTAAGTGAGATTAACACCTACCTCACAAGGTTATTATGACTAAATGAGATTTAGGAAATGCTCAGCACCTTATTACTATTATTTATTACTATTAATAGTTTTTAGTGACCCTAAATTTTTTTTATTATGTTTCTTGGCCTTAAGAGGAAGGTATAATCACACTCACGCAGATATGAATCCTCACGCAGTATACATCCACATGTTTCCTGAATGTGCTAACAGTCCTCTGTCCAGTGAAGGCCCATGCACTGCCTGGACCCAGCAGCTTTGGGCCTGACTTTAGGATAACTTACCCCAAGGAACTGCGCCTTTGTTTGGGGGCCCATGAGGTAGTGGGCTGGGAGGGTCGGATAGGGTTCTCTTGTGTCCGGGTGGTGGGGGAGGAGGCCTCTTCTTGGATAGGGTGGAGCTGCCACTAGAGGTCTGGGTGCTTAGAGGGAGTGTTGAAGGTGGGCCAGTTGGACCTAGAAAGGAAATTGAATGGGGGCAGGAAGGTTAATCCCAGTCTCACAGAAACAGAACTGCCAGTATGCAATTACTTCCACACATCAAGATGGCAGTATGATACAGAGACAAAAGCAAAAGGCTGGATATGACAAAATCCATCAATCCAATAATTCACAACTGGAAAATCATTCACCTACACCTAAATATATATATTAAAAAAAACCCATTCCTAAAATTACAATCAGCATGCTTTTCAAATGTCATCCTGTAACCACAAACCAAGCAAAAGCCAGCCTCCAGAATCATCATTTCAAAAACGAAGGGATTACTCCTTCACAGGCCATTATACTTCTGTGTGACTTCCTTCCTATCACTGACTATAATCTCTAATTATTTACATGTTGTTTACTTATTTACTGACTCTCCCATCAGACTGCAGGTTCTATTATGGCCTGACTTTTCTCTGGACTGGTATATAGTAAATATTTATTGAAAAAATGGATGAATAAACTTCTACTATCTTCCTAAGGCCAGTGATTCTTAAGGAGGAGAGTATATCTCATTGAGGGCAACTGATCAAAAAATAGGTGTGTGTCTGTTTGGGGGGGAGGGAGAATAGCAGGTAGGAACAGAATTAAGTTTGAAAATGAATGGATAATACCATAAAATGATTTCATATCTGGAAAACAAACCTATTATTTTGTAATAGAAGCTACAGAAAGGAAGATGCTACAAAATGTTGGCTGGCAGGGCATGAGCTTAAAAAGGTTGAAAAATGCTACATTAGACCCCAGAAAGCTGACGATTTTTTTTTTGACTTAAAGAGTTCAGAAGACTTGTGAAATTATTAACCAGTACCAAAGCACTGAAGGAGATGTCATATACAAAATAAATCTGAGTATTGACTCATTCAGGAAAGAAGCAATTTTGGCAGGATAAAAAAAGCTGAAATAAAAGAAGAGAGAACACAGCATAAAACCTAACAGAAAAGGGTGGGGAGGCAAGATTAATAGTGGTGGAGGAGATACAGAAGTGATTCAGACAGCCTTAACTCTTCCTTAACTGTCAGGGGCCTGAGGAAGTAAGAAGAAAACACCCCAAATCTCATTTGGCACTAATATTGGCTACT